CGCTTCCGCCAGGGCAGCGAGAAGAAGCGTCCCCCCCGCTAGACACTGTTCTCGGTCGAGAGTGGGCGTGCGGTGCGGTGCGGCGCGGTGCGGCGCGGGTTGGATTGGATTGGAAAGCTCGAATTGTGTGCTTGCCCAGCTGAGAAGGCAGGGAGAGAGAGAGAGAGAGACAATCGCAGCCGGCGCTGCCTCTATCGAACGAGAGGAAGCGCCCGCCAGCCAATCTTCCAGCCCGGACGGCGGCGTCGAGACGGCTTGCTCGTCGCCGTTCTCCCTTCTCACCGCTACACACCTACACCCGTCACTCGTCCATCCTCTCCCCCTTCCCCTCGCCGAGGCTCCGTCGACATGTCGTTCGCTCGTTCCGCCGCGCCCGTCCGCACCGCGCTCCGCACCGCCGCCCACCAGCAGCGCGCCTTCACCACCGCCAACGCTGCCGGCGTCAAGACCGCCGCTGCTGACGACGGCGCCCTCACCTCCACCGTCACCGTCGCCATCAAGGCCGGTTCGCGCTACGAGTCCGCCCCCGGTGTCGCCCATGTGCTGAAGAACTACCTCTTCAAGTCCAACCAGAAGCGCTCCGCCCTGCGCCTCGTCCGCGAGGCCGAGTTCTACGGCGGTGTCCTCTCCACCGCCCTCACCAAGGAGCATCTGCTGCTCACCGCCGAGTTCCTGCGCGGCGATGAGGAGTTCTTCGTCGAGGTCCTCGGCGACGTCCTCTCCAAGTCCAAGTTCGCTGCGCACGAGTTCAACGAGGAGGTGCTCCCCCAGGTCCAGGCCGAGTACGCCCAGGCGCAGTCCAACCCCGCCGTGCTGGGCTACGACAGCCTCCTCCAGACCGCCTACCGCCAACGCAGCCTCGGCCACTCGCTCTTCGCCTCGCCCGCCTCGCCCATCACCCACCGTCAGACCGTCGACTTTGCGCACGCCGCCTTCGCCAAGGACAACATCGCCGTGCTCGGTTCGGGCATCGACTCGGCCAAGCTCAGCCAGCTCGTCTCGGCCCACTTTGGCGAGCTCGCTGCCTCCGCCTCGGTCTCCTCCACGCCCGCCAAGTACTTTGGTGGTGAGCAGCGCGTAGCCTTCGCTGCCCCTCACGGCGCCGAGAACACGCGTGCCGCCCACGGCCACTTCTTCGTCGGCTTCGAGGGTGCCGGCCACAAGGACGCCGAGGCTTCGGCCAACCTCGCGGTGCTGCGTGCGCTGCTCGGCGGCGAATCGTCGGTCAAGTGGAGCAACGGTGTGTCGCCGCTCTCGCAGATCTCCGAGTCCATCCCCGGCGCTCGTGCGGCCGCCTTCAACCTCACCTTCTCCGACTCGGGTGTGTTTGGTGCGCACGTCTCGGCGCCCTCGGCCTCGGTCCAGCAGGCCGCATCCAAGGTCGCCCAGGCGATCAAGAACGTCGCCGGTGGTCTCAAGGAGGAGGCCATCAAGGCGGCTGTCGCCAAGGCCAAGTTCGAGCGCGCCACCGTGCTCGAGAACCGCACGGCTGCGCACGAGCTCGTCTCGGCCCAGCTGCTCGAGGCCGGCAGCGTCGCTACGCTCGAGAACGCCTTTGCCGCCCTCGACGCCGTGAAGCCCGCATCGCTGTCCAAGGTCGCAGAGAAGCTGCTCAAGTCCAAGCCAACCACCGTGGCCGTCGGTGACGTCCACAAGCTCCCCTACGCCGACGAGGTGCTTTGAACCTTGGGTCCAAACCATACACTTTTCAACTTCGTGTCCTCGGATGCCACCCAGGACTGCCTCACAAGCCGTAAATTGAATCTGCCTTTTCCCTTATCCAGTGCTTGCGCAGACTTACCGTGAGAGGGATGCATTCTTCCTTCACGCAGGAAGGGCACGGAGAAGGACGTGTGAAATTGAGCAGATGTGCGGGGCGTCTAGGTCTAGTCCGACTGTTGTGCGAAGAGGGGCCACTGCTCGCCATGCACCCTGAGTCTGTGGATGCACAGTGGCGGATTGCGCGCCCAGCCATCGATGAACTGCCAGCGTGTGGCCTCGACTCCGTACGGGTACGCCTTTGCTTCGTCCGTCAGATTGAACGTCTGCAGCGTGTTACCGTCTGCTCGGTACTCGAACCACGCGAGCAGCAGCGGCGCCTCGTCGGCATACTCGGCAGGCACAGCAGACAGGAAAGGCTCCGGAAGCACTTGGGCAAAGTACTCGCGCGCGGTCGGTGCGAGCTTTCGTCGATACTGCCGATAGTAGTCGCGATCCGACTCGTCCACTGTACCCCACACAATGACGCGGCGCGGAGCAGTGCGTGCCATGCCCGGAAGCGGATGTTCCAAAACCACCTCGTCCACCACCTTGGGCGCCGCGAGGTTGACGTCGATCATCGAATTCCAGCCCGTCATCCAACAGTTATCCGCACCCAATCCTGCTCCCGGAGTAATCGCCTTGACCGGTTCTCCAATGGGAACCTTTCGCCCCTGCGCCAGGTACGCCTTGAGGTTCCACACGCTGTTGTATCTGTATCCTCGATGCACGGTGCCCTGTTCACCCACCCATGCTCCGCTCGTCACTGCCGCCCAGTCCACCCGCCCGGTGCGGTCGCGCGAGTACCGCTCGAGCCGATCCTCGATGAGCTCGCTGAGGAACGTCTGATCGAACGACTGCGCCAGCTTGGCGTTGACCTCGTCGTTGGCGTACTTTGCAATCTTGCCCACCTCGCGCTCGAGCTGCGCGAAGAACTTGCCCTCGGTGTCGTCCGCGCGCCGCTTGAGCTGGCCGTCGATCTTGCGGTCCAGATCGCGCAGCATGGTCTCGACATTGTTCGACACGCTCTCTTGGATCGACCGCAGCTCGTCCTGCGCCAGACGCGACACTTGGCGCTTGGTCGACGCCGTGAGACGCGACAGCTCGGCGTCCTTGCGTGCCTCGGCATCCGCTACGATCTTGGCCGACGCCGTCTGCAGACGCGACGAGATTTGCGACTCGATCGACGACGACAGTTCGTCCAACCGGTTGGTGAGACGCTGAAGATCCGCACGCAGTCGCCGGTTCTCGCGATCCAGCAGCGAGGTCCGGTGCAAAAAGTCGCCGTCAGAGGGAACCGAGACGGGATGCGATGGAGAGATGGAGGGGAATCGCAAACTGAGTCCCTCGATACCGCCGCATCCGAAGCCATACGCTACCAAAACAGCCACGCCGATGGTGAGCAGAAAAGCAAGCCTGGCAAGGAGATCCTTCCACGAGGTTGTTGCGACCGCACGCCACAGCTTGCGGCCAGCGACAAGGGGGAGCCACAGCAGCACGCTGAGCAGCGCACCGACAAGACGCGTCAACAGCCTGAAGACGCCCAGCGCCAGCCGGACGGGGAGCGAGGGCTGATTGGGCTGCGCGTCTTGAGGGCGAGTAGCCTCAGCGGGCTTGCCGGCCACCAACGCAACCGGCTCGTCGATTTCCTCGTCGGACGCGCCGTCGAAGCGAGTCTCTTTGCCGCTAGCGGCGCCAGCGTCATCGTCGTCGTCGTCGTCGTCATCTTGGCCGTCCTCGGAGCCGCTGTTGACGTCGTGCTCGGCCGACTGAGAGTTGAGGCTGTTGCGTCCGCGGCTCTTCTTTGTGGTGCCCTTTGCGGTGCCGTTCCTCCAGCGCAGATTATCGATTTTGCCCTGGTCATACGCCGAGAGCGAGCCCGAGTTTCTGCCCTTGCGCCTGCGCCGGGTGGGCGAGCCGATGTTGTCGTCATCGTCGTCATCGTCGTCGCTGCCGGGTCGGTAGGGCCTGTCGTCGAGCGAGGTGCGTGCCTTTCGCTGTGCCGAGACTCTGCGTGTGACGATCGGCTGCACCTGCACAGGCGGCTGGATGCGGCTGCCGTTGGTCTGCATGCGGGCCGCCTCACGCTCCTCCTGCTGGTAGTCGGTGAGGTCGCTGCTGCCGCTGGAGAAGATGGAGAGCGAGGCGCTGTGCGAGTGGCTCACGTCTCGCGGGTCGTTGAAAGCGCGCTGGTCACCACGCAGCAGCGACGACTGGTAGGGCGCCGGACTGGTCGTGCCGTTGTGGTTCGAGGGCTCGCGGACGTAGTAGCTGGTCGACGCATCTTCCTGTTTGATGGAAGTGTTCATGGATGCCCCGGCAAGCGCGCCGAGGTTGGGCAAGGGCCTGCGAGATTGGAAGCCAGCGCCGGCAGGGCTGAGTTGTCTCGACATCTCGGGCGACAGCTGCCTGCGTGGTGTGGTCGGCGCGGCGGCATGACGGGCGTCGGGTGTCTCGGATCTCGCGCTGATCCTGGGCGACCGCCGAGGCGTTGGCGTGCCGCGTGCCGATGTGCGGGGAGGCATGGTTCAGCGAGCAGGCGAGCGGCCCCGGCACAGTCTAACCGTTCCGCTTCGTCCGGAATTTGCAGGAGCTGGCGCAGTGACGAAGCGGGCTCTACCAGCGAGCGCGTGAAGCCAGGCAGTGTGGAGTTTGTCGTTGGTGTACGATGTGGATGCGTGTCCGGGTGACTCGTTTGGAGAAGGTGATACGAGGACGGGTCGTTGGGTATGCGGATCGACGAGCTGCTGAGTTCTCGCTGCGGGTGCGGAACTGCTAGCGGGTATAGGGTGCGGAAGAGAAGGGATCGACGAGCTTGAATGTAAGAAGTGAGGATGGATGGAGGCGCGCAGCTGCGCCTAACTTTAGGTTGGGTGCGTGTCATGGCGCCAATCACGCCTCTCTCTCACGCAGCAAGGGCGAGCATGTCTCGGAGGTTGGCATTGCGGACCCCTTTCTTTGCCGCCTTCCTTTCTTCTCTCCTCGCTTGCACAGGGCAGCAGCATAGCGCAAGGCAAGCTGCGAGAAAAAATCAAACATGTTAGACCGAGCCCGAGTGCCACAACCGAACGAGCTCGAAATTGCTCCACTTGCCATGAAGCCGAATTTTTTTCTTCTCGACAGGTCCGCACAGATCTCCGGCTTCCGCTCTTTTGCCAGAGTCGCGGAAGCTGAGCTTTCTGGCCCAGCTGCTCTTTAGCGTTGCACGTCTGAACACCACCACAACCCAGTGCGCATCCATCATGGCCTCTTCATCGACACTCAAACCTCCGCAATCGACGGCACCGGCGCCTCAAAGCGCTGCGACGCATCTGGAGCTGCTGCCGGAAATCCCGCGTGCGAGCTCGATCATCGTGATCGGCATGGCGGGCTCGGGCAAGTCGACTTTCACCGCGAGCCTGCACGATCACCTGCACGAAAAGGCACAGGAGCAGCAGGATGCCATGGACCAAGAGCCTACAGCTTCATCGTCGTCTGCACGGACTACTGCGCCGTACATGGTGAATCTCGATCCGGCGGTGGGCACGCTCGGATACGAGCCCAACGTGGACATTCGCGACACGGTCGACTATGCGCGCGTCATGGAGCAGTACAACCTCGGTCCCAACGGCGGTATCCTCACTGCGCTCAATCTCTTCACCACCAAGTTCGATCAGGTGCTTGGGATTCTGGAGAAACGAGCCAAGGAGGTGGATCATATCGTGCTGGACACGCCCGGTCAGATTGAGATCTTTACGTGGTCGGCGTCGGGTTCGATCGTCACAGATGCGCTGGCTAGCTCCATGCCAACCGTAGTGGCATACATCATCGACACGCCAAGGACGACGGCGCCGGCGACGTTCATGAGCAACATGCTCTACGCCTGCAGCATCCTGTACAAGACCAAGCTGCCGTTCGTGCTGGTGTTCAACAAGACGGACGTGCAGGACCACCAGTTTGCGCTCGAGTGGATGCAGGATTTCGAAAAGTTCCAGGAGGCCCTGGCAGCGGGAAACGCCACGGATCCTTCGGCCACTGTCACGCAGCACGGACTTCGAGCACCAGCAAGAGACACGGATACCGAGGGAAGCCAGGGCTACATGAACAGCCTCATGAACAGCATGAGTCTTGTTCTCGACGAGTTCTACAAGAATCTCAGGGTAAGTTGTGCGCGCGTCATGCCAGCGGCAAAGGAGGACATAGATGCTGAACTGTCGATGCTGTGGAATGTAGGCCGTCGGAATTTCCTCTGTGACAGGCGAAGGGATGGACGACTTTTTGAACGCCGTGCACGAGGCACGCCAGGAATACCTGGACGACTACCGACCGCAGCTCGAACGGCTCGCCAAGGAGCGCGACGCCAAGCGCGAGTCGAGCAAGAAGGAGCAGCTGGCGCGCCTCATGAAAGACATGAAGGTGGGCGGCAAAGGTGCGGCCAAAACGGCGAAATCAGCGACGCGATCCACCGAAGATCTGTCGCAGCCCATCGACGAGACGTACGAAGGAGACGGCCAGATCATCGAACCGGTAAGTGAACACCAACCGCCGCAGCCCAGGGCGCACGTTCCTGCGCAGAATCTTCAGGAGCGTTCGGGTCATCAATTTGGAGCGCGCGGCAGGGCTCAAGACGGCATGGTGGTAAAGCATGCGCCGATGCTCCGCTCGCAAATTGGTTTCATGCTAGTCCAGCGCGTCGTTCGCCACAAGCCGCTCGTCCGATCGGGGACGTGCACTGCCTGCCCCGTCTCACCTCGGTGACTCTGTGGCCTCCCATGCTGACGTTCGCTTTGATTTGTTTGTTGATCTGGGGCTGGTAGGATTCGGACGAGGAGAAGCCACACTACGAATACCCTGGGCCAGACTACGACCGGGGTGACGGCACGGTTTGGCCTCGTCCTGGTTAGGCCAATACCATAATCCAAGGCCCGCCATGGTGCCGATCCTTGGCGGAGCACCGGGGGCGTCAAGTAACGAGAATGCCGTCTTGTGCTTTGATGTGGGCGTGTGCTGGGATAGGCGGGCTGAATAAAGTGGGTCAGGTGCCCCACTCCCGCTCGGTCAATGGTGGGGCAACTGCGGTGGGGATGATGCTGAGATTGATTTCGCCATCGGAGCCTCTAGACGCCTACGAGCGAGGACGTTGTAGCTAGCTTTGATGTATCGCTGCTCATGTACAACGGCGCAAGGGATGCTGGGCAGAGTGGGCGCCACCCCAGAAGGCCTCGAGACGAAGAGCGGCGCGGTGCCTGGACCTGCACGAGGCGTCCCGCTTTTGCATGTCCAAACCCTCGACTTTGAAATTTCCCTTTTCTGTTTTCTATTCTTCATTGTGCGCCGGAGTGAGGAGGGGGGATATTGTGGATGCGAGCGGAGATCGCATTTAAGGGTGGAAGCGGTGGCACAGAGTTGACATTGGCAGCCGCGGCTTGTCTGTGTTGATCGCCACGCCAAAGCGGGCTCTTACGCAGAGCAAAGGAGGCGACGAGGGTGAGGCGGACAAGAGAAACACGGGACCGAGGGGCGCGTGTGTGGAGAGAAGCCAATGTGGAATTCGGCTCGACTGGCTGCTGCTTGACAGTGCCGAGGTGCCTGTCGAGACATGAGAGGACCGCCGAACCGCAGAATCGCGTGGATGGGAAATCATTCAAGCGAGCTGCTCGGCTGCTGGGCTGCAGCCGTGATAGCCAGAGTCGACGTTCGGGACGGCCAAAGCCGCGCTGCGTCGTGCAGTGCATTGATAGCCAGTGAGATGCAGCGCGGCGCCGCGCATGGCATCGCATGGCATGGCAAGGCAAGGCCAGGCCATGCAATGCAAACTTGGAGACTTGACCTCGGAACGAGGCGCGATCGGGTCATCGGCATCCGCAAGTTGAATTGCGGGTGGCACGGCGCATTTGTGGGCAGTGTCACGGCTTCGATGCAACGAGCTGCAAAGGCAAGCCCATTCGCCCCGACACCGCTAGCGAGACGACACGTCTGGCAGCGACAGAGTTGATCAAGTCCAAACGTGGCGCCCCGACGGAATTGTCGAGGGAGGTCGCCAACTGCGGACGGGGCGCACATCATCCACGCTTACGCCAGGCGCGCGTGCCGCCCACGGCGACCCGACTGCATGTATGCCTGCGTGAAAGTCGTTGTGGTCCATTGTGTCGGCTGAAAGAATCGCTGGACAAGCAGGGAGATGGTCTTGGACGTCGCTTGACCGTGTCAGATTGGTTTTGTAGCGACGAGGACACGCTAGCGTGAGGTTGCACTGTTGGCTGCGCAACCAGACTCGGCGTGCGTCTGCTCCTCGAGGTCGTCTCAACAGCCATACCGCAACGGCAGACCCGATCCTTCTCTCTGCTCTAGCACACCCACCGAGGTGTCATCCGTGCCTGTCTGCAGCCTGGCTTCTTCGTTCTCCCCGGGCGTGACCGAAAATTTCAAAATGAAGAAGAAAAGACAGAAAGAAAAACAGGGACCACGGCGGAATGGCACTGTGCAGAAGACCCTGAAGACGACCCTTGAAAAAGCAAGTGGGTGAAGGCACCTGAGCTCTGGAACCCTGCTCCTGCGATTCAGTGCGAATTCTCTGGTCTCTCGCTCTCGTGGCTCGGTGCGTGCCGAAGAGCTGCTTCCCGCGCCGGCGTGCGTGCGGGTGCAGGAATCTAGACCAGATTTTGCACCATCGCTTCGTGCTTTCTTGCTTGCCTTGATCAATGACGGCAGAAGAGTGCCGACTGGCAGGCGGCGGGTGGTGACATGGAGTGGGCGATCCTTGGATTGAAATGGCAGCGTCTGGAAGCCAATCTACTGGGCGAACGGGTGATCTTGCCGCTACGTCTGAGGCCGTGTGTGTGGCACTCTGGCGCGTCCCTGCATGTCCTGCGGTCCTTTGCCCTTTCGAAGCGAGCTTGGAAGCCTTGGATTGGCAGCTCCGCTTCGCTTTTAACGCTAATTCCGAACCCAGTGTTCGACAGGACAGCAGCACTTTGCCTGTCCCCATGCTCGGCCCCTCAACGCAGCCTTTGCACGGCTCCCGCGTGACGATCTTATCAGGCGCCGCCTCGCCTCCAGGCTGCCACACTCGCCGTGCGCGGCGTGGGCGTTCGTTGAGCTTCAAACCGCGCGGGCTCGCCTCGTTCTCGTGCCCTGCCGTCGCCGTCTCCTTCTCCTCCGCCCGTGCTCTTGTGTTGCTTGGATGGCCCTGCCTGAGTTGCTCGGCACTCTCTTGCCCTCGCCTCCCGCGCGGCCCTCTCCCGTCGAGACGCCCGTAGAGACGGCACAGTGACCGCCGCTGCCCTGCCCTGCTGCCCTGCGGTTGTTCCGACGATTCGCAAACGGCTTCTCACGTCTCCCTCTAGCCGCGCTCAACAGCCGCTGTTGCTCCCACGCTCGCCCGCCCGTCCGTCCGTCCGTCCGCCCGCCTCTGACTGCCTTGGGTCGCCTCGCCTTGGCGCGCCCGCCGCACTCTTCCTCGACCGGCCGCCGAAACCGTCCAACTGCTTGAGCTGCGACGACTCGACTGCATCGGCTGCTGCGCCTTCTGCACGCGTCTGCACCCGCCCCTTCGTGCCTCCAGACCCACCAGTCCGTCAGCCAGCCAGCCGTCTGAGTTTCTGGCCGCTCTTCTCATCAACTTCACTTTTCTCGCTCGCTCCCTCGCTAAGGTTGCTCGCTGCCTTCCGTTGTGCGCTGCCATCGACCCCGTCCAGCGATATCCCTCTGGTCCTTTTTTTCTCGATCGCTCTTACACACTCTCATACTCGAACTCACGCAGACGCGCACCCACGCATCCATATCCCCCGGTTCG